TGTGGAATTTTTAGAAACTAGAAAAGTAGTTTTGTCTACCACTGAGTTCTATGACATATAACTTTTTTCTTTGACATTCTGAAATACAAATTTATTCTGCTTATGTTATTTTTGGCTTTGACAACAAAATATAAAATACAAAAAACAATACTGGATGGTCTTTTTTTAAATTAAGGATTCCAATATCTAAAATCTTTTGGTGCTTAGTATTCCAAATGTCCACCCTTTTTTTCATTTAAAACTTATCTATTTACTACTAATTTTCTAAGGGCCTCTTACTCCACTTAATTGTAATGTGAACTTTGTCAGCACCACAATAGTGGACCCCCAGTTTAACAACAATCATTTATTTATCTGCAACAGTAGATAAATGCATTTATAATTTTGTGATATCCATTCACCTGCTGAAGGATATCTTGACTGCCTTCAAGTTTTGCCAATTATGAACAAAGCTATTAGAAACATCATCTAGCAGGTTGTTATATAAATATGTTTTTCTCTCCACCCTGGCCCCTACCTCTACCCTTTCCACTCTGGTAATAATAGTTCTGTTGGCAAAGTCTACTGGTTTGTTTTTATTTTGTACTCTCCATCCGTTGCCTTGTGTCCTTACAGCGCATGTGCATTGCACACATCAGCCAATATTTGTCTTTAACCCACTGACCTATTTTTTGCTTTGTATAATCCTCTCAAGTTTTCCCTGTTTTTGCTGGCAAATGTTATCTTTTTTATAATAGCTAAAGAGTAGCCTGTTGTGTATATAGACCACATTTCCTTTGTCCAATCATCTATCAGTAGGCACAGATCAGCTACTGTAAATAAGGCTGCATAAATGTTTATGTTAATCATTTAATATTCTTTAGACAGATACACAGAAATGAGATTCTGGATCATATGGGAGTTCCACTTTTACTGTTTCAAGGAAGATCCATGCTGTTTTTGAAAGTGGTTATATCTTATTGTGGTTTTGATTTGCATTTCTTTAATAAATGATGATGAGCATTTTTTCATGTGCCTGTAGGCCATCTGCCTGTGCTCTGTGGAGGATTGTCTTTTCAGATCTTCTGTTCCTCTTTTAATTAAGTTGTTTTTTTGTTGTTCAATTGCACAAGTTCTTTATATCTTTAGATATAAAGTCCCAATCAGATATGTGATGTACAAATAGCTTCATCCATTCTGTAGGCTATCTTTTCATTTTGCTGATATTCTTTTGCTGTGCAGAAATATCTTGATTTGAGTCCTGTTTATTTACTTTGGCTTTCATTTCTCTTGCCACAAAGCATAGTTTTTAATTTTTATGAAGCTCAGCTTATCGCTTTCATGGATAATGTCTCTAGTGGTCTATCTAAAAAGGCATCACCATACCCAAGGTTATCAAGTATTTTTTGTAGGAATCTTTTTGTGAATTTATATTTTCATTTCTCATTGTTAATTACCTAAGAGTGAAATTGCTGGGTTATGGATATGTAGATGAATGTTTAGCTACAAACAAATTACCAAGTAGTTTTTCAAAGTGATTGTATCATTTTATATTCTTAGAAATGCAAGATTCCAGCTGCCTCAAATCCTCACTAATATTTATTATTAGACATTTTTGAGCTTAGCCACTGTAGGGCCTATGAAATGAATTCTAATTTTGGTTTTAATTTGCATGGCTTGACTAAAGTAATGAGTACCTTTTTAGGTGTTATTAACATTTGTATATCTCATGAAGGGTCTGTTGATGTTGATCATTTGTGCTTCTTCTATGGAAAAAATTGTCTAGTCAAATTCCCTGCCTATTTTTAAATTAAATTTTCATTTTTTAGTGTTGAGTTGTATGAGTTTTAAACATACACACACACACACACACACACACACATATATATATATATTCTATATTAACTTACCAGATAATTGATTGGTAAATATTTAGTAGATTGTCTTTTCATTTTGCCTTTTGCTATACAAAAGCTTTTATCTTGATGTAGTTGCATTTGTTTATTTTTTGCTTTTGTCAACTTTGAGTTTTTGTCAAATCCAAGAAATCATCAGCAAGACTGATGTCAAAGAACTTATAGTTTATGTTTTCTAGTAGAAGTTTTATATTTTCAGGTCTTGCATTCTTTGAGTTAATATTTGTATATGGTATAAGGTAGAAGTCCAGTTTCATTCTTTTGTGTATTGTTTTCTCAGTACCATTTATTGAAGCAATTGTCTTTTCCCACTGTATATTGTTGGCTCTGTTTTCAATTAATTGACCATATTTTCATAGGTTTACTTTTCTATTGTGTTCCATTGATTTGTGTGTCTGTTTTATGCATATATCATTATTGTTGACTATATTTTTGTAACAGATTTTGAAACCAGGAACCATGCTGTATCCAGCATCTTAATACTGCTTTGGCTACTGAGGGCCTCTTGTGATTCTATACAAGATTTAGGAGTGTTCAATTTTTTTTCTTTTTTTTTATTATAATAATTTATTTTGTATCATTTTGTGCCTTTTTCCATCTCAGTTGTAATCACTGTGGAGGATTGTTCTATTTTTAGTGAGAAATGCCAGTGGAATTTGGTAAGTATTACATTGGATCTGTAAGATTGCTTTGGGTAGTAAGGACATTTTAACATTAATTTTTCTTATCTGTGAATATAGGCTATTTTTCAATTTCATTTCTTCAGTTTTTTTTCATTAATATCTTTTTTTTTTCTTTCAAAAAGTACAATATCTTGAACTTTTCAGTATACAGGTCTTTTATCTCCTTGATAAATTTATTCCTCAGTAATTCTTTTAGATGCAATTATAAATGAATTATTTTCTTAATTTCACTAGTACATAGCAGCACAGATTTTTATTGATTTTATATCATGCAGTTCCCCTGAATTCATTATTTCTAATAATGATTTTTACATATCCCTTTCTTCTGATTTGGATGCATTTCATTTCTTTTTCTTGCCTAAATTTTTGTAGCTAGGCTTTTTAATACTATGTTGTATAAAAGTGGCAGAGTGACCATCCTTGTCTGGTTTCTTCTGAGGGAAAACTCGACTTTTCATCATTATGTTAGCCATGGGCTTATTGTGTTTGACCTTTATTATGTTCCTTTTAAACCCACTTTATTGAGATGCTATTACTTTGAGTTATTGTTCACAGTCAATTTTTAATTAGAACATGATTCTTTATATATTCTTTATATAAGTCTTTTGCTAGGTAAGTTTGATGAATGTTCCCCAGTCAGTTTCAAGTTGTTTTTGAAGTACAGAAATTTAAATTTTTATCAAGTCCAATTTGTCCATTTTTTAAAAATTATCAGTGCCAATTTTTTTTTATTTCATGTCCCATGCGGAAATATTTGCCTATTCTAAAGTTTTAAAGATGCTCATCTGTTTTTTTCTGATAAGTTTAATGGATCTGGATTTTATGTTAGACCTGTGAGCTAACATTACTTTTTTTAAAGATGTCCAATTGCTTCAGCAGTGTTTTCATGCTTTAATTAAAAAATGAAATGTAAATTTTTAGCCTTATATTCTAACCTATCCTTATGCAAATAACATTGTCTTGCTTACTGTAACTGAGTATTGAGTCTACTTTTCCTTCTTTTCCCACATCAATGCAGTTTTCCTTTTGTGTCTCAACTTTAGGTACAGAAGATTACAATCTTATGTGGTTCTTTTTTTTTTTCTTTCATGGTTTCTTTTTCCCCTCTCTTTAATTAATTTTATGGTTCCATCCTCTAAAATTAAGTTATTGATTCATCTGGTACTTGAGAAATGGTATAGATGTAATGCCTGTCCCTGGTCAGATATTTCTTCGAATTCCCACTTACCGGTATTTTTTTTGTTTTGTTTTTTGTTTTTTTAAAAACAGATTTATTTATTTACCGGTATTTTCTAACTCAGCTTACTGAGTACCACTGAGCTTTCTAGAGACTTTAACACTCACATGCTCTGGACAGCGTTGTAAAAGTGAAAGGAGTGTACCTATTTCAGAGGATTCAATAAGATAACCTGAAAAGTGTTCCCGTCCTTGACATGCAAGTGCTCTGCAAATGTCTGCTAGTATTATTTTAAGCACTCATACATACACATGAGTTTATTTCTGGAGTTTATTTTCTGTTCCCTAATCTATCTCCCGCATCTATGTGATTCATCCAGTAACACTCTTACTCAACTCACTTCCCAATGAAATGCTCCTTTTCCTCATTTCAGGCAGCAAAGAAAGGGTCATATCTCACTTGCCTTTCCAATCATAACTTGAGCCAGAAAATGTTAACCTTGGGGATAAAAATAATCTGTGCTTCACAACGCAGTGAGAATGCAAAGCCAAACCACTGCACCAGCACAGACAGGGCGAGGCGGGGGTTGGGGGGGGGGGGGGGGGGGGGCGCCTGCCTATTTCTTCTACCACCTATTCTGAAAGAGGAAAATCCTGTCCTATGTCATTCTGGCTGACGTCAGCAAAACCCAGCTTCACTTTCAACTCTAGTTTACAACTTCCAAACTAGCAGTTCACTAGTGTATGTACGAGTGCTTAAAACAATACTAGCAGACATTCGCAGACCCAGTACATCAGCACGTTCAAGAAGGCAAACTGGGGTGGCAGTAGGACCTCCAGGGGAGCCCATAGAGAACTGAGTGTGGAAAGAGGGCGGGTAGTGGGGGGGCGCTCAGAGGGAGAGACTAGGGCTAACAGAGGAGAGCCCCAGAGACGCGGCGCTGGGAGGAGGCGAGAGAGACGGGCTTCCACCTCCACCAGCCGCGCCACTGGGCTCCACGCAGGAGGAGGTGCTCGTCCCGCAGTCTACGTTCCCTCCGGTTTGCGGGATCCCCGCGCAGCCACAAGGCCCTCTCCCAGCGCCAAGCGGCCGGCTTTCCCGCCGACGTTCCCGCCGTCTGTGGCGGCCGCCCGCGCCCGGCTCGCTCTCCCCCTCCTCCCCCGCCTCAGGCGTCCACGGCGTCCGTGACGTCGGCGTCGGGGCGGGACTTCCTGCTTCTCGCGCCCTTAGGTCTCGGGACTGAGTCCGCTCCGCGGGGCTAGAGGGGCGGCGGGCAGCTAGCCGAGGGTGGCGTCCCGCTACGTTATCGGCGCCGGGACTGACCCCGCACCCCCGAAGAGGTCGACCACTGAGGCGGAGCGGGGTTTTTTACCCGCCGCCGCCCGCGGAACTCTCCCCGGACGCCTCAGATTTCCGCGGGATCTGGAGCCCGAGGGGCGCCCTCGGCCCTGCCCCCAGTCTGCTCGCCCTCAGCCTGCGGGTCAGCGGCCGCCTGGACCTCGCCAGGCGTGGCGGGCTGGCCGGCACCCCGCGTGGGGGACTGCCCCTCGCCCCGATGACCCGGCGGGAGGAGTTGCGTGGGTGCCGCTGGCTGGAGCTGCGGCGGCGTCTCGGCTTGGCCAGCGCGGCAGGAGCCGCGGTCACTGAAGTTTGCTGCGCGCGCGTGGCGGGACCGTGTGTGTGTCAGGTAGGTGACCTCCGCGCGGTCCTGCCGCATTGGAAACACTCATGCCCTTTCCGCAAGTGGCTCTCGAATTCATTTTTTGGCGGGTTTCCTGTAAAGTCCTAGAGGGGGCAGTCGGGGAGGAGACTTGAGGCCAATTCAGTGGTCAGTGGGTTGCACGTGAAACGCGGGAGCTTTTTGAGCGCCCCAGCGAGGGCTCTGCGGCCGGGTCTGTCACTGGCCAAACGTGCGGTCGCTGCAGCTTGGTCGCTGGTGGAAAGACCGTTTTACCAGTTTGCTGGCTCCCGAAGACCGTCTTAACTGTGATGTGGGCTGTCACGACCTGGGTAACGTCTGGGACTTGGGAGTCAATGCCTGGCGCAGGTGGACTTTGGGAAACCCACCTTGTCCTGCTTTGGACCTTAATGAGCATTTTGCTCTTCAAGTACCCCTGCCAGGTGGTTTAAAAACCTGTTCACATTAGATGTACTTAGAAGGCAATTTTAATAACCTCTCAAAAATGTCTAGGGTCACGCGAAACGCTCTCAGTTCCTGTATATATGGCCGAGTTCAGTGTGCTCAGATTACCAGTAGAAATATTTGAGTAAATCTGAAACTGAGTTAAGATCGTTTTAAAGCCATGCTGCCGTTACCAAGCAACGTCAGTGTAAACAAGCCTGATATCAACTAGAATATAATTAAATGTAGTTATCCTGCAATTATCTGAGTTCAGAATGCTGTAAACGTAAGGGTTTAGGCTGTATGTAAGTGGTTACAGTTAATACCTTTGGTACTGAGGTTTGGTTTCAAACTTTTGATCCAGAACTATTGTAATACTTTACACTTAAGTATCACAGAACTCTCCAGAGAGTTGCAAATGGATTTGGGTTGTCCTTTGGTTATTTCTGACAAAATATGATATTCTCCCTTTCTTGACCCGTTTATGAAATGAAGAGGCTACATTTGGGACCTTTCTCAAAGAAGGGTGATACCAATCTAGGATTACTTAGAACTGTGGAAAGTGAAGCGCTAATTGCCCACAGGTGGGTTTTGAACCTTACTCTTAATGAACACTTAACTACGTGTGTGTAAAGTAGTTTTCAGATAATAGCCATTTGAGAAAGTGGGTGAAAGGACTTGATTGAATACATTACTTGAAATAAAGTTATTACTGGTGAGAATTGGCACCTGAAGTTTAATGGTTTATAGCATGTCTTTACTGCAAAAATCTGTAGACTTCATGTTAGTCCTCTCCTTCCTTTTCTTTCCCATATGTTGATGCTACATTAATGAAATATTCAAGAGTTGGGCCAGACAGAAAAAGAAAACTCAAGAATGACTCAAGTTGTGTGATAAAATCTTTAGTAATCAAGTCAGCATTTTTGTCCTGGGAAATTCTAACTCAAGAAACTTTGAGGAACACAATCTGAACAGTAAAATTACTGAATTATCAGGCTCCTTTTTTTTTTTCTTTTTTAATAGTTTGTCTTATTGTTGCAGTCTCTTTGCCTAAAGTAAATGAGTTCTAACTTGGGCATCTATAACTTGGGCATGTATTAATTTTAAGTTTAGTAAATATTTGTGCCAGGCAAACACAGGGCATGTTCACTATCAATTCCAGCAACTGGTAAAGGAGAGGCCTGGAGCCCTCAGTGGCTTTTTTTTCAGGTTTTGATGCCCTTTCTACAGCAGTTGTGGGGCAGGCCTGCAGGCTTGGCGAGATGGGGGGTAGGTCAAGTTGGGTGAGGGGCTTTTTCTTTCTCTTTGGATTCTCTGGCGTCCTTTTGTGTTTGTGGGGTGCCCCTTACAGCCTCATGCTCCGGGTGTCCACGTAGCAAGCCCACACTATCCTCCAGGGGTACATCATCAGGCATGCGTGCCCCAGCCACAGTCCCAAGTGTCCCCTGCATTGAAGGTTGCAGTAGAAGCCTCAGCATCTTCCATTTACCTTATAGTAATTTTTTTCTAATTGTCTGATCTGTGGGTACTTTAAGAGCATGCATATCTGTGTAAAAAAACAGTTACTAAAGTTAACATTTCTTAATCTGAATTCTTCAAACTCTTCTTACACACTGCTTCCTCAAGCTTATATTCTTTTTAGAAAAAATGTGCTTTGACCTGATCGGATTCTTCATTATCCTCGAAAGCTACTATATGCTTTCTTCCTTTTTTTTTTTTTTTAATTTTTTTTTTTATATTTTTATTTGTGCATACAGAACTGGGGTACAGGCCAGAGGCTCAGGGGTGGTGAGAGGCTTCACCAGAGACAGAGTGGGGAGCAGAACAGGCAGATCATCAAAGTACACTGCTGAGAGGAGCAGCGGGCGGGTCAGGAGAGGTCTGCCACACCATGTGGTCACCTCCGGGGCAGGCGGGAATCGAACTCATGCGAAAGTGGCTTCAGCTTCTCAGTGCTGTGCTTTAACCCGCTGCGCCACCAGGGAGGGCCTGCTTTCTTCCTTTTATATCAGTTTTTTATGTACGTTTTCTGAAAAGTTCAATTCCACTATGACTTCCATCTATTTTGTTATGCATGCAAGAACCAGGATGTAGGCCAGAGGCATAGGGGTGGAGCTGTGAGAGGATTCACCAGAGACTGAGTAGAAAGCAGAACAGGCAGGTATATTGAAATACTGCAAGGGGAGCAGTGGGTGAGACAGGAGAGGTCTACTGTGTCATATGTGGGTCAGCTCCCTGGCCGGGGTCAAACTCGGGTCACAGCCAGGGCACAGTGGTGGCAGCTAGTGTGAAAGCACTGACACTTAACACCTATGCCAACAGGGAGGCCCTGGAAAACTTTTTTTTTAAGGTCAGTAACTTAAGGTCAGAGATGATGTAAAACAGACTAGCAGGAGAAAAGCATGCAAATTTTATCTCTGTACCTGGGAACCTTCAAAGGAGCTGGAAGACCTAATGGAGTGATCAGAACAGAAAGCTTTTATATCTTTTAGACAAATACTAAATTTGTGAAAAATTGAAGATGGGGGGTTTGGACCAACGGTAGTACACGTGGAGAAGGACCTGGAGGGATAAGGATTACTTCCACAAGGTTTATTTGTGCAGATTTTTTTAACTTTGATTCTCTATTTTTTGTGATAAGAATGTTTTTCTCATGGTGCCCTCATAGGGAGGGCACCTTTAACATGAGTTTTATCTTCTTTCAGGAAGAAAAAGGAGAATCAGCATGTGCCCTCCTAAAAGCACCTGCTCTTTCGTTAAGTGCATTGACATCTAAATAGTGCATATACCAAAGCATTATATTTAGGGGTAGCAGGTCCTAAACTCCCTCACCTCTGAAATCCTGTGGTATATATTTCATGCATATTCATTTGATACATCTTACCTTCGTAACTAAATTGTAAACTCCTTAAGGACAGGGCATCAGATCTCAGTGAACTGTATTTTTAGGCTCTGCCCGAAGAGGTTGCCGAATACATGTTTTGGACTTTTCTGACTTGCTTCCCCTCTCATTTATCCCCACAGTACAGTAAAATTTTTGCGAGCAACTGAGGAAGGGAATTATATGAGGAATTCGTTGGCATAATATGGAAGGGTTCTGTTCCTAGAAAGTGAATATTTGCGACTTTCCCATGACACTGTCAGAGAAGCCTCCCTCAGGAATGCCCTGCTACTCCCAAGACAGCTTGAGGAGCCTGGTCAGTTCCTGGTTCTTCCTTAGTGGAATCTTAGTTTCAGAAACACCTGCCCCCTCCTCCCTTTTTCCTTCTGTCTCTGTTTACCTGCTCATGATTGTGTATGAAATTATATCATTATTTTCATTGGGCCCTCATTGATTAGCATTTCTTTAACTTTTATATTTTTCCATCAGGAATGCCTCTCTGAGTCACAGACATTGCTGAGTGTGGAATGTAGCAGCGCCCCTCCTCCACCCCGTTTGATTTGCTTTCTATAAATACTTTGCTTAATACTTTCTGTATTTTGCTTTGAAATTGCTTTTGGCTTAAAATTCTTAGGAGGAATCTGCACCTAGCCATTCCCTTTTGGAAAGCACCTGTCGTTTAAAAAAGGTGTCTTCAACTAAGTGTTTGCTACAATTTCTGTATCTGCTATTTATAAATTATTTCAGTTAAAGTCAAGCTAAATCTTATAGTACTGTTTCTAAATCTTGGTTTGATTCATTTGTTTCTTAGCTTATGAGTTGTTGCCCAGTAACAACAGTTGCAGTATAACATAGCAACCATTGAAAACATTAGCAATGGACTATAGGGATTTTTCTGATGAAATTCTAGTGTCTACCTCTTGTATTTTCACCTGTCTTTTTCAGCTGAATCATATTTTGGCTTAAGGTAGACATTTAAAAGGGCATACAATATAGTTATATGTTTTGGAGTGCTGACAAATTTTAACTTCTTGCACATTGTTTTTCAAATAGAGAAACATGATAATATGTATGAGGTGTAGTGTGAACATTTGTATTAAGGTCTTTGTAGGGATGCTTTCATTCCTCTTGGGTAAATATCTACAAATGGAATGACTGGGTTATAAGGTAAATGTACAGTTGATTTTTAAGAAACTTTCCTAATGTTTTCCTAAATGATTTTCCCACTTTATGTTTTTCCAGTAGCTTATGACAGTTATAGTTCCAGTTCATTCTAGTCACTATTTGGTATGAACAGTCTTATATGTTATCTATTGTAATAGATGTCTGGCATTGTGTTCTTAGTTTGCACTTCACTAATGATACTTAACATTATTTTTGAAGTGCTTTTTAATCATCCAGGTAATTTCTTTAGTTGTATTAAATTTTTTGCTCATTGTTGAGTTGCTCACTTTTAGTTTTGAGGATTCTTTACTCTAGACACAAGTCCTTTATCTTAATATGATTTGTAATTGTTCCTCTTTTTTTTTGATTAACATGACAGTGTTTTTTAAAGAACAAATGTTTTGGTTTGTCAGTTTTTCCTCTCCTTTAGAATGCTTTTGGTGTTTTATCAAAGAAACTTTTAACCCATTATGAAAATATTACTGTTTTCTTCTAAGAGTTTTATAGTTTAATTTTGTGT